ATGTTTATGCCATACAATCCCAACCAACATAGCCCATTTTCAGACAAGAAAAATGGTAAAAAACACAAAAAAGTCGAAAATTTCTATATCATTGTCTGGGACATGCAAGAAAGTATCTTTGTAACAAATCCCATATAAGTTGGTTGACATGCATATGAATAATTCACAAAAACCCCAAATTGTGCTTTCCTCACTTAAAAAATGAGCAAAAAATTCCAAACTTGTCTATATCTTTATTTTGGATCTGCAAAGAGTATCATTGTACTAAGTCCAATGTAAATTATTGGAATTACGAAGAGGAAGTGAGCTTTTGGCTGAAACTGGACAAACTCCCAAAACAACTATAGCAGCAAAAAGTATGATAAATCAAACCTGGCATTAACGGGTTATGATATTGCCTCAACTCAACCGTAAGAACAGGATAAAAGCCATAATCAGTATTATGGGCAAAATGATAACTCACCTAACCATAAATGCAGGGAAGAGACATCCTGCATCCAGAATTACGAGAACAACATGGAAAATTCCCCAACTGTAGGAACAGAGTGCGTATGTCCTGTTGTTGGTATTACATGGCAGACAAATTTTCCCAAACTTATCCATAGGAGCAGAGAAAGAACCTCCTGTAACTGAAATTAATGAGAAGAAAGGCATCTACTGCACATAACTGTAGGAACAGGGCACTGTCATCCTGAACATGGCATTGCAAAAAGGATCCCACATAATCTGGACCCCCTACAACCAACATTTGTTCCCCAGAGAAAAGGCATCCAGGGGGAACTTAAGGAGGGAAACTAGATGTGCCCTCTTCTCACTGAGTGGATAAATCATGTATGGTAAAGTAAATTTCTAAACTCACTCAAGGGGAAGCCTTCATGGTCCACCACCCCAGCGACTGGGAAGTGGTAATGACTCCCTTGCTTCACTGGAAGAAAACGGGAGGGGGAGTAAAACACGTTGGGGAGTCTAGAGGAACATCACACTGGAGAAAGTGCAATGGGTGTCCATGATTCCCTATTTTGAAAAGTAGACTGACTCCTGATTTATTCAATCCCAAGGATCAGTAGGGATGGGCAGAAATACCCTTCTGTGAGCATTATAGTGCAATCAGTAAATAGTGTAGATTTGAGGTAAAGCATACCTGACCAGGCAACACCCACCACAAAGTGGGATCCCATTATCAGTAGTTAAAACAAGGGTTTCTGAAATAAACACATAAATGAAATGAAGTAATAAGACTTATTACCCAGGTCAAAGGTGAACTGACGTGTAGAACTGCCATGGGAGGGAGAAGATAAACACTAGAAAAATATACATTCAGGTCATGCAGAGAATGAACAACAAAGGTATTGGGAGTAGTCCACATTCCAGCCTGAACAATCTCTTCCAAAGGAAGCAAGTTGTGCAGCCAAGGACATAGTGATGTGAAGAATATGATGAGAAGAAATGTTGTGGAGATGGTAACATTCTGTGAATAAGTCCAAATATGCCAGCCCAATGAGTTCATGAACCGAACCAGTAAGCATGACATGGACAGATCATAGAAAATAGAAGGGTTCAAGGGAATAAAAGGTTGGAAACATGAAACCCCAAAAGGCATTACATGCCACATATCACCTCAAGGAGAAAACTGGACAATGAAGCTGATCAGGATTGGAATTGGAGTAGAGGTGGAAAATGGAAAGTAAAGAAATTCATTGCAATTCATCTAAAGTAACAAAGTCTGAGCACTGATAACATGAAATATACAATTCTCCCCTGTGTAAATAATGGCAAAGCCACAAAAAGGGCATCTGAACTGGGCCTACCATGGGCATATCAACCTGGTGTGAAGTGTACATGTTGAAAAAGTTACTCCAGATCCCCTTGGAGAACTGGAAGCAATAGGAAAAAAGGAGGAGAAAAACAGTTCTCTACCAAATTGAATGACATGGCAAAATAGTAACTGGTGGAAGGTGCCAGAAAATAAGAGTCCAAAGAGTCTACCAACTGATTGTATTCTTCCACAGAAACACTGTCATATTGAAAAAAAATAAGAAACTAAGCTATTTTGTGAGAGGAGGTAAGATATCATAGCGGAACAACCCATTCCGATATAAAATATTCATATACTCAAATCATAAAAATTTGCGCAGATCAGAAATTTAGAATTTCAATACAGAAATATTCTTTGTATTTAATGGTACTGGAAAACAAAGGAATATAGATTAACTTGGGACACTATAATCATCCAGAAAGAGATATACAAATCTTGTAACAGGTGAGTTTTATTTATTTTTTAGCTTGACAGGTGTTTAGTTGTTGGAATAATACATGTACTGTTTTTTATTTATTTATGAGATGAGAATCTATGATGATGAAGGTCAGTGGCAAAAGCTTTCCAGGTGCCCCAGGCAACAACATGCAACATATAGTGGTGTAGAACAAGATTTGATATTGCCCATAGCCGAGACATATAGTTACCATCAGGGTACAGATCTCATATATACATTTAGACAAAGAAATTATACGCAGCATCAGTTACTTGAGGTTACTTACATTAGTACTGAACTGAATATATTACCAAGAGAAAACAAGCAACTCAACCTTTCCTTAAATTAAGTAGCAAGGGAAAAAAACACAAAAATAACTGGGTAACCCTATAAGAAAATTACTAATATTGAAAAAAAAAGTTTAAAAACACATATTTTATTAATTTACTATATTTCTAACTGCATTTTTATAATGCTTTGCAAATCTCTTGTCCAGCCAACACAAATAACTAACACAAAAAGTGACTTTTGTTGCATATTATGAAGTGATAAGCCTTTCAAAAATGTGTATGTTTTAAACACACAATATAACTGTAAAATGTATTTTCTTAAGTGCTTGGTTGCAATATTCATGGATCTTACTCACAACACGACAAAAAACATTTCCTCATCTTAATGTTATGACAACTGCTCTTGAGTCAAAGTGGTTGCATGGTGCTTGAATCTAGCTCCTGATAAAGAGTAACATTGTGTGTGTGATTGGTGATCTGAGAAAGCTCTCCCGACATACATAAGGGATCACAAAGAGCCAGTTCTGTGACACTTTGAGAGTTTCATTAAGAAAGACACTTAACTTCAGGTGTAAAATGAATAACATATTTTTTATATACATATGTTTAGTTTTTGAAGTGTTGAAACTCGGTTCCAATTTCAAGTGCCAGATTGGTGCGGTGGTGCATGACAGCACCGTAGTCAAGAAGGATCTCTGTCTAGATAAATGGGATGACTCACATGTACATAAATTGCTTCCATGACATATTCATTTAATTACCACATACCTTAAGCAGCTAGAGAATGAAATGGTATGGATGCAACACCTATATATATTTCTCTGTCATTGGACTGTAGGAATGGGTGTCTTGTAATGGAAATCACATTGTCGAACTATTATTATGACACATGGTTATAGACAGAGCATGACGAGACTTATGACATGGCTTGTAATGAGATAGTGAGGTTCCAAAATCATTTTAACATATTCATCTTCTATACAATATTGAATAATACTGAGTCATTGAAATACACCACTACCTCCAAATAACATTAATTTGTTGAAATATTTTACTACAGCTGAAACACACTGGTTTATCTCTATCACTAAAAATGAAAAACTATTGAAATATATCACTATTCATAAATAGCACAAGCTTACTGTAACATATCACTATTCCTAAAGAACACAAGGTTACTGTAATACATCACTATTTCTAAATAGTTTTTTTTTTGCACAAGGTTACTGTAACATATCACTATTCCTAAAGAACACAAGGTTACTGGTCACTATTCTTCAATAGCACAAAATTACTGTAACATATCACTATTCCTTAATAGCACAAAGTTACTGTAACATATTATTTCTAAATTGCACAAGGTTACTGTAACATTTCACTATTTCTAAATGGCAAGGTTACTGTAACATATTATTTATAAATTGCACAAGGCTACTGTAACATGTCACTATTCCTAAAAAAGCATAAGGTTACTGTAACATGTCACTATTCCTAAAAAAGCATAAGGTTACTGTAACATTTTACTATTTCTAAATGGCAAGGTTACTGTATCATATTATTTCTAAATAGCACAAGGGTACTGTAACATGTCACTGTTCCTAAAAGCACAAGGTTACTGTAACACTTCAGTATTTCTAAAAAGCACAAGGTTACTGTAACTTGTCACTGTTCCTAAAAAGCACAAGGTTACTGTAACATGTCACTGTTCCTAAAAAGCACAAGGTTACTGTAACATGTCACTATTCCTTAAAAGCACAAGGTTACTGTAACATGTAACTATTCCTAAAAAGCACAAGGTGACTGTAACATATCACTATTTCTAAGTAGTACAAGATTGCTGTAAAATATCATTATTCCTATATAACAATGGGTTACTAAAAATCTCTGTAGACTGTTTTGCAGATTTTAATGAATAATCTGAACATTCACATGATATATTTATAGCTTAAAGTATGAAGAGTAAATTGGACATCACATTTTATTCAAGTTACACTTTACCACTGAATAAACTTTACTTTTGGGCCATGTGACTCTCTCTCATAAACCACTGTTTACTCAATAATACTTATCAAAATTCAGGAATAGCCAGTAAAGCACATTTTTCTTCCCCTAGTGGTACAGATCAAATAATAGGATAACTACTATTTATCACTAGCTGGTGCACTTGAGGCATGTAGCCCCTCTCTTTCTGAATACATTAAGCAGACCTTTATCCCTCTTTCAAACAAGTGAGAGATGAGACAAGCACATCATGCTCTAGAAAAGGAGAGCATGGTCCATTTAAGTGTTTGACAAGACCTGAGGCAGCCACTTGAAGAAAACCAAGAATCTGTTATCACACCACAAACAACAAAGAGCCTCAGTCAAGGCAGTCAGAAAACTGACAAGAAACAGTCAGTCTTACAAATTTCTGGTTCGTGCTTACAATGAGTGCTGACAACCAGGGACCAATTCTTCAACTGTGTAATGGAATAAATAGCACTGAACTAGTAGTCTCCTCTATTTGAAAATATTAAAAACTATAATTTAACATGTTTGTGGTGTAAGTGATTTCTCTATTTACGCAACAGAAACGTAAGGCCTCATTGTGAACTCTGCCTCAGATACAGCTAATTGTATGGCTTTATGTTATGTTTTATGACAGAATGATTGGGAACTTTCTCTTGAGTGCATCACCTGTGATACATGACATCCTGTCTTTACCCATTTAAGCTTTGGCTGTCATGTGCCACTGGTGGTGCACACTACGATTTAAGTAATAATAATCAAATATTCATAATATTTTTTTTTCAGCCTAATCTTGCCTTTTTTTAGAAGAATTATGAATATTTCACAAATTTATGACCGTAAAAAAGGGACATCACATAAAATAATCCATACTGTGGATGATAGTTCTATCCTTGTTGTATTACAGTTGTCATAACAGTTTTCTTACTTATGAAAGAAGTTTCAATTAGTGTTTTTTTGCTTCAATTACTCACAATGAAAAATTTAATGCCAATCTGTAGATGAAATTTTTAAATAAAAAGTGACTTAATCATGTAAATGTGTTTTATTTCAGTTGTCCTTTCAACATTGCATTCATGCCCCACCAGTGGTACATGATGGAAGGTGTGGCTTTATTATAGCAGTCTGTATAAAGTAAATGCTTCATACAAGACTTTGGGGATAAGAGGTACAGTTGTATCTTATGGGTGTTGTGTACCACAGGTGGCTCACAACGTCCAACAGAAAACATGCATATGTACCACCGGTAGCACACAATGTCGTAAACGTGTTAAAAATTAACAATTTCACTACTATAAACTAGAAAACAAATTACTGTAACTGAAACATCTTTTCTACCATTGGTTGAGGAAAATTATACTGTAATGCATTTTGTGAAAAGACAGAAAACAGCCAAAACATTTACAGGAATTATACCATTTAATAAAAAACAAACAAACAATTATTTAAAAAGTGACAATGAAATATCTCATATATTTTAATATAACACATCTTTTGCTTTACTACTCAAATAATTGTGTTACAGTTTATAAGTGTTTCAAATATTACAAGCAGAAGTTCCTAAATACAAAGAAAAGTAGAGTGTGCCAACATAAACATAATTCCAAAATCTCTAAGAACATTTATGTGATTTCCTGTCTGTAAACATGAAACTCTAACTTGTAAAATGATATGTATCTTTTTTTTCATAATCAGAATGTAAACACAAAGTTATACAATACAAGTAAAGTCTATATACTGATTATGAAAAAATAATTCTCAATTTGGAATTTTATGTTTCATGTATTGTGTTTGGTATATAATGAATACTGATCACACCTTTGCAATGCATGAAACTAGAATTTCAGGATGATTTTAAAAATGCAGGTAAATCAACTTAACTTGAGCACATGGCTTTCGTAATAAAAATCTTTACATTTGTAATTTTAGTATATACATACAACATTTTCAACAATACCATTAGTCATAAAACTTTGGTATAAAGAATTATTATATTTCATGACAATATTTATACATTTTACTAATTATTATAATAGTATAACTAGTACAAGTTTGAATTTAAATACTTTTACAACCACTTAGTAAGTTATGGCAAAAATTTCAATGCTTCTGCTATTTCATCTTGTAGAATTTTTGAATGCACAAATAATTTATTTCTAATGTCATGCCTGACATTTCATGCTAGTGATGTGGCACATATCCATTAACGATTAGCTTTAATATCAAGATCAATAAAGAATGATATACAAAAATGCATTGATGCTAGCAGAAGCATATTTAAATCTAAAGAAACTGAGGAAACATGACTGGTAGGCCAGCTTACTGAATAGGACTTGGAAACACTCATCTTAAATTTTGACAGTTAATATATCAAAAGAAAATAAAACCAAACCTGAAAAATGGGCTGCGGTCTCGACACAAACTTAGGAATTCTTCATCCCTATACATATACCGGAGATCATTTTTACACCCAACCAACACTATTGGTGTATGAGGACAGAATTTTCGAATCTCTGGATACCACATGACTTTACAGTTCCGTAGGGATAGTGGATTAGCAATGGAAAAGCATAAAAGGACTACATCAGACCTAAAGACAAAAACAAACACTGACTAATAGGTTTCTTAGGATTAAGCAGCTGCTTACAGTATTTTAGTTTTTTTTTATCTCCATATTATACTTGACCAAACAGAAATACAGGCAGGAAAATTACTAATTAAAAATTTTTTTCTAACTTTCTATATCCTAGTTTTCAATATTTTGTTTGATCCTATATGTTTTCAAGCATTCCATATTTTACAACTTATGTAACTAAAAAGTAAGGTTCCTAATCTATTTTTACAATTAAAATATAATGTTTTTACGATTATTTTTTCCAATTAAAATTTAACCATTTGAAGAGTTTTCATTATCAACTGGTAGATAGGAGTCAATCAGTTATGTAGCCTACTGGATCAAGAAACAGAAAGTGTGTAAAAGTTTTCATTACCAATTGTAGATAAGAGTTAACTGGTTATGTAGCCTACTGGATCAAAAAACAGAAAGTGTGTAAAAGTTTTCATTACCAATTGTACATAAGTGTCAACCGGTTATGTAACCTACTGTATCAAGAAACAGAAGGAGTGTGAAAGTTTTCATTACCAATTCCAGATAAGAATCAACCAGCTATGTAGGCTACTGGATCAAGAAACAAAAAGTGTGTAAAAGTTTTCATTACCAATTGTAGATGAGAGTCAACCAGCTATGTAGCCCACTAGATCAAGAAACAGAAAGAGTGTAAAAGTTTTCATTACTATTTTATACATAGGAGTCAATCAGCTAAGTAACCTATTGGATCAAGAAACAGAAAGTGCGTAAAGATTTCATAACTAATTTTACATAGGATTTAATCACCTATGTAACCTACTGGATCAAGAGTTTTTGTTACCAACTTGTAGATAGGAGTCAACCAGTTATGTAACCTACTCGATCAAGAAAAAAAAATGTGTAAAAGTTTTCACTACAAATTGTAAATAAGAGTTAACCAGTTATGTAGAGTATTGGATTAAGAAACAGTGTGAGAGTTTTTTGGATTTTTTCTCCACTGTAGATAGATGTCAGGCAACAATGTAACCTCTCAGATAAAAAAAAATGTAAGTATAGACCACAAAACAATATCAAAATGAAGAATTATTCTGTTGATATTGAACTCACCTGCATGATTCCATTCGATTTTCATATTTTCCAAATAATGAATGTGAATTAAGTAAATCAAAAACATGCTGAAATATAAAATAAAGAGCAGATTAATTAGCTCAAACTCAAGAGAGTGTGTCTAAACCATGAGTGATTTGAGGCCTTAATCAAGTAGAATCTAATCAGTTTAGTAATGATTAATTAAACAAAACATTCTATCCCCATACCTTTATCATTACTAACAAAGTTAACCAAGTTATAATCTCTATATTATATTACATGCCTTCCATATGCAAATCTCCTGTCTTTATCATGGTCACCAAAAGTGTCCCATAGTCTGAGGGAAATACTGACACCGTCCACAACATCCCATGAGCGTTCCAATACCTGTACATTCAAAAGAAAAATTTAAATATATCTAAATCAGGTGTCAAATGTTTACCATACATTATAATGGCTTAAGCATCACTACTAGGTGTTGTAAGCAATATAATACAATTTCTCCTATGTCCTGTTAACACTGGCAGGCTAACAGTGCATCCACTATTAGTATTTATTTTTATAATTACAAAACAAACAAATACAGGAACAGCAATACAACCTTTACACTCACAGTGTTTTATATGAATATTTTTCAAATATTATGTTTACTAAGCTTGGTGATCTTTCTCTATCTAGCTAGTTCAGAAACAAATTAGCAACAGCACAAATGAAAACAAAAATAAAACCAGGACAAAAAATTATTACATACACCTACTTGTGTGTGGCTTTTATAAGATACCTGAAACTCTTATTTTTAGATGAGATACATTAAAAGTTCAATAATTTCACACACTAGCAGAAATGCCACCCTATGCACAGCTGCTTGTGCTATCAATTACTAATTCTCAAAAAATGTAGAAAAAAAAAAAAAGAGTGAACATTTTCTAAAAAAATATTTTTTTTCTGGGATGCACTGCATGGAAAAAAAAGTGTTCAGATTGTGCTTTTTAATTAATGTGCAACTTATTGCATTAAAATGATTCAATGTGCAGAGATAAAAATGTTCATTAATTTTACTGATATAAACAGTTATGTTTTTTAAGAACTCCAGTTTTTTAGTACTACATTTAAAAATTACATCAATAAAGATATAATCAAACCATCATGTACAATTCCAGTGAAAATCATGTTCTTCTTGTGTGTGGGGAAAGTACTTTTATTAAATTTGTGTTCGTTTATACAGAAATGGTTGTTGCACATACCACAGTTACTTTTTAAATTGTCTGAATCTTGAATACCCAAAGATAGAATTTTTTAAGGATTTTTGTTTGTGGTGGCATTCAGTAGATGGTGCCACATTTCATAAGACTCAATCACCACTTCTGACAATGAGATCTTGTTGTAATTCAGCACAATTTTTATTTTGGATCTTCTTCTTATAAATCTAAAGGACACTCTAAGTGAACAGAAAAGTCTTTAAACAATCACAATTTCATCTCTGCATCAATATGTTAATGTTTAAAGTCTTTTCTGTAGTTTTGATTACATACATAGGTACCAACATACAAGCTACGTCCATTAAAGTAAGATTCACACCAAAACCTACTAACACTGAAATGATTATCTCAAGGCAATTCTTGTATGTGCAGGCCAAAGGTATTTTTAAAGCTTCATCACTCTTTAACGTGAGATTTTGTGTGTGGAGAAAGAGTGAAACATTAAGTAAACTGAATGCCATGATATAAAAGACTATTTGGTTTAATGTTTAATTTATATTTGTGAGTGAATATTTTATTATTTTTATGCTTTGTTATAATAAGAGTTAAAAGCAGGCAATTGTAGGTTTTGTTAATAACTAATTGGTGTCGAGAATATAGAAAGTGGACAAACGACTATGTAACAAAGATACAAATAGCTTGAGACAAGCGCGAAGCAGCAGACAGATAAACGCTAAGAGAATGTGGTTGGTGTGAAGTTAAGTAACATAAAAGTAATAGGCCTAACGACTGACATAGGCCTGACGTTTGATATCCACATATATATATATTAGAATGAAACTAACAGTGGAAAAGGAAATAAGAAAGAATAAGTTTATTCCGTCAATGCGTAATTCTAAAGTAATTGAATCAGCCTGAGTACACTTTGACAAAAGGAACATAGGTTCTTCAGAAGAAAGAAGACCACAATCGTAAGTGAATCACCATCAGACTAATATTGCGATAGTATTATAGAAAATAGTTCGGTTTGTCAACCGAGATTCTAAAGTAATTGAACAGGCCTAAGTGTACTTTTGACGAGAAGAGGAGAACTATATATATACTAATATAACGTTTACGATATGCTTATATTCTCTATAGTGTGAATACTTTATTGTACATACGGTTAACTTGTTTCGAATATGTATATTATTTGAAAATAGGAAAGTGTGTGCTGTTTACTTATCGTTGAATTTATTGCTAACAAGTCGCAGACACTTACTACTGTCGAAGAATCCAAAGAACTACATAGTATATATATTTTTACTATTAAGAAATATAAGTAAAAGCCATTTATTTTGACAATTGGCAAAAACACAGAACCCATATACATATATAATATTATTTTTGAAAATCTGACAGTAGGCAAGCTAAAGAACCAAAAGAAAGATCATTTAAATGATGTCCCTACTTAGAAACAATAAGTATAGGTGTATTACTAAATATATAAACACAGAATCGGTTTAAGACTATTTGTTTTGAATTTCGTGCAAAGTTACACGAGGGTTATCTGCGCTAGCCGTCCATAATTTAGAAGTGATAGACTAGAGGGAAGACAGCCAGTCAATACCACCTTTAACCAATTTTAGGGGCTACTCTTTTACCAAGGAATAGTGGGATTGACCTTCATATTTCAACGCCCCCACGGTTTAAGGGGCGAGTGATATTACTGGAGCTCGCGACTCGTAGATTGCGAGTCGAGCGCCCTGTCTACTAGTCCGTGATATTTAGTGTTATAATATAAACTCAAAAGTCTTAATTTTATTTATATTCTCATCTTTACCTAAATATTAAATCACATGAAGCTGTCTATGAAAGTGTAATAGAAATGTCACTAAAAGTATTATTTATATTAATGAGAATAGCATCTTTGTGATAAATCATTGAAATTGTTTTGCTACTGTAATGGCAAATTATTGTTAACGTTATGAACTTCTTTCGTCTCGAAACGGACAGGAAAAGATTTGTAGGGAGAAATAAAGTAATTTGTTTTCATAATGATGTTCATATCTTACAATAGACAAAACGTATCACTGTAAAAATGTGAGAATTTTTCCTTTTTAACATTCGCTGATACTTCTTATTCGCCTCTCAGTGGCACAGCGGCATGTCTGCGGACTTACGACGATACCCGTGGTGGACAGAGCACAGATAGCCCATTGTGTAGCTTTGTGCTTAATTACAAACAAACAAATTTCTTATTCTTGTGTACTATAACACGTGCATTGTAAGTGTAC